GAGGACCAGGAGATTAGATTAATTAATTACTAGACAGAAGTAGTGTTGTGTACTTGATAAAGCCAATAGTAAACATATATGTACTGACACGAATGTCAAAGAGCTGTGACAGATAATAGTTTGAGCTAGGGGTGAAAAAGTAAACGGTATGTCAAGATAACTCTTCGGACTTAGCATTGTGTTCAAGTAAAGGAAATGATGTCCAGCTCTGAGAATGCCCATCGTATGAAGGACGAAGGTTCGGTATGCATTCAGATCAATCGAAAGATTGTGTCTGTACAAACGTGCCGCTAAATTGCAATCACAGCAAGCTACGATGGTCCTATATCGGTTTCAAGAGAAACCAGAGTACCAAGCTCCTTATCTCCCAGATGCACTAGTGAAAGCTAGTAAGACAATTGTCTATGATGAAATGTATAGGAATTTAGAATTTTCTCGAGTAAAAAGATTAGATTTGCGTTCAAACGTCAGTATTTGTGAATTAAACTGGCTCTTACAACTTTAAGAGATAGGTAAACACATTACAAGCAGTCACAACTTGTTCTCATCAAACCAATCTTGGATATAGGTAACTAGAAATGCTGTAATGTTGTAAAATTTTCAACTTATAGGCGAGTGTCAACAAAATGGATTGAAAATGAGAAAAATTGCCTTTCGACAGCGCAGTAGTACCCAGTATCAGGATTCAACAGCCTCTCCATATTCTAGGATCAATCAGAACTTTAGGATATTACCGCCAACTCTCCTCTTCTCTCTAAGCCGTCGCTGAGTGGAAGTGCAACATAAAGTGGCCCACAGTATAAAGGCCAATCCGAAATGCAGAATGCTTATCCGCAAGTACCTTGGCCGATTCAACAAGAAGCGCACGTGGCACTTTGAAGAGAGCTAATGGTTTTGGACGAAGCGAAATGAGGTTGGACTCGGTGACCTCCATTGTGCGAGCCAGATCGCGGGCCAGCTCGATATGTGTAAGTTGATCCTCCCCAACAGGCACCACATCAGCATCGTAGAGGAGAATATCGGCTGCTTGAAGTACAGGGTAGAGGAAGAGACCAACTGACCCTAAGGTCCCTTCAGTTGGTCCTGCTTGCCGATACTTCTCCCGCCACTGAGGCAGATGGGCCAGACGCTGAAAAAGAATGGATAAATAATCATGGAATAGGTACTAACCGTTTTTATTTCGAAGTTATGAGAGGGCTGATTATCTCTGATGTCTGCCAGTTTCGACAAGTTTGTTGGACTGATAGTAAGTCTGCTCAGGATAAAAAATTATATTATCATACCTTTAATTTCCTCTGGAAAGTCGGATAAAAGAGCTTCATATATTAGCCTCATCGGCAGCCGAAGGAAAATTGCCTTAGTGGTGATTGTGGACTAGTGCCAAGAAGTCCTCAACCACCGCCCCTCGACTCCAATCAAACCATGTTGTGCTATCCTCTGCCGTGTGACAGGCACTGACAGATATATGAGCTACAAAAATTCCCTAAGCTCTAGTATAGGAAAGATTGTTTGTCATATGAGAGATAAGAACTCATCATGGATTTATCGGCGCAAAGGACGGTGAGTCAAGGAATTCTTCGCATAAACTCATATTCACATTCCTTAAAGCGCCTTATTTCCCAAATACTTCACAACCCGCATTGCATGCCGACATTACACGCAGATATCATTTTATCTTACCACTCTAAATCCCATTTGTAAATTAACCTGTACCATACAAGATATTGTTAGAGATACTTTCATTTCGCATGAAAGTTCATGTAGTAGGATAGCTAGACCAGGACAGAAAGAGGAGTGATAGCACAACCTCTTCAGCAGAAAGTTGGTCAAGGGATTAGCTTCACTTGCCGTTTTGACGTGTTGTAGCTTGGTGCTGATTGTGCCGACTACGATGCCGGCGAAACGTCTGAGAATGAAGCAAATCCACGGTCTGACGCTGGTAATTATGATAAATAGTATTGCAGAGGACTTTGGATAAGGTGCATCCAACTAAATCTCTCTGATAACAAGGCCAAGTTGCGAAAACGAGGTCAACCCACTTCTATTAAATCAAGTCTTTTTTTCAATTCGTCCTAGTAAATCTGGTTGAAAACTTTTTGCACAAGTGTGTGATAATGGCTTCTAAACCAGATATAATTGTTAAATAATTTTAATAGCAAACATATGGAACTAAAATTACAAGCAGGGAGCGAGTATGGCGAGCCAAATTAGAAGAAACAGATATTGTAAATAATGTTAAGAAAGAACATATCTCCTGATTTATCATTCTAGGGAGTTACTCCCTTCAAAAATGCATATAGC